TATCTGTGTAACTGACAGCCCAGTCAAGAGCTAGAACACAGACCCTCACCCTCACCCCAGTCAGCCCCCGCTATTCTGACTTCGATCACCATCCGTCCCTCCAGCTTTTTCTGCAAGATCCTACTGGCTTTTGAAAAGGCATTATTATCTGTTCCTCCCTGAAATGTAGGACTTTTTTTATGTTGCATGAGTGATTCTTGGCTGTAAGAATGTGTCATGAGATTTATAATCGCAGTCAAAGAAAACAGCACGTCTAGCGGCCACTCTGGATTCATCTTTGTTTCTCAAAGTTCTCATGCTGAAATTGTTCCATTGCCTCGGGTGGAAATATGCATTAACCATATGAGCATGTGTGTGGAGGTGGGGGTGGGGGGTGGGGAGACAGCCCCGGCTGCACTGGGGACCCCGGGCTGAGCGGTTCCGTTGCAGAATGGCGCTTCAGAGCCCATGCCCACAGCGGGCCTGCTCGCACTTTGCCCCGGGCCCAGGGCGGGAGCAGAAAGAACGCTGGCTTTTTCCCAGCCGGCGTGGCTCAGTGGTTGAACATCGACCCATGAACCAGGAGATCACTGTTGATTCCGAGTCAGGGCACAGGCCCAGGTTGATCCTCAGTAGGGGCGTGCAGGAGGCAGCCGGTCAATGATTCTCTCTCATCATTGACGTTTCTATCTCTCTCCTTCTCCCTTTCTCTCCCTGAAATCAATGAAAACATATTAAAAAAAAAGAAAAAAGAAAAGGACGCAGGCTTTAGAATCAGACTGGAGAGGTCGGCTGCCATGTTGGGGTGACCCACTTAACTTTCCTGAGCTCCGGCTGCCCCCGTGGTAACATGGAAAGGGTAATGCCCAGCTGAAGGTGTTGCTCTAAAGGTTAAGTGAATGAGCAGATGCCAAGAGCCTGCCCTGTACCAGGCCTCCCTTCACTTCCTGAAATGGCAAACTTTTCCGAGTTCTGACTCTTGCCTATGTCGGCTGGGAATAGAGTCATCAACTCTGTTAGCGGCACTGGCCCTCGGTCAAGTATGTCCGACACTGGTTACCCTCGGGGCCCTGCTGCTTGTGTTTGCGACTTGCTTCTCGTCCACTGGGGCCTTTCCCTGCCCCAGGCATGTGAGGAAGCCCAAAGCAGCCAGTCCTGTTCTCGCACTTGCCTGGTCCCCCGCCCACCACACCCATAAAGACACTCGGAAGATGGAGACAGGTGGTGTACTGCTTATACATACAGGTGGACAAAGTGGACCACAACAGACAGGGGCCTTAGCAGCCATTTAAAGAAATGGCAAACCTCAATTCTTAAATCTATACTAATAATAGAGGAATATGCAAATTCTCCAGGGACGCCGTAATGTCACTACCAATCAGGACGGGGGTGGGGCCACAGCGGAGAACTCTCAGCATGCCTGTGCTGGGGGTTTGAAGGGCACGGAGAGGAAGGGAGAGCAGATAAGCAGTTAGAGGAATCAGGCCAGGAGGGGAGAGCAGATAGGCAGTTAGGGGAATCAGGCCAGGAGGGGAGAGCAGATAGGCAGTTAGTGGGATCAGGCCAGCAGGGGAGAGCAGTTAGGGGGATCAGGCCAGCAGGGGAGAGCAGTTAGGGGGATCAGGCCAGCAGGGGAGAGCAGTTAGGGGGATCAGGCCAGCAGGGGAGAGCAGTTAGGGCCATCAAGCTGGCAGGTGACCAGTTAGGAGCCAGTGGTTCCATATTGTGAAAGGGGTCCCGGATTGGAGAGGGTGCAGGCTGAGCTGAGGAACCCCCCCATACATGAATTTTGTGCACCAGGCCTCTAGGTTATTAATAAAAGCCCAACAACCCAAAACAACAACCAAAAGGTCAAAACTGGCAAAGGTGCACAGAGGCAGCACAGAACAGGCAAATGGATGCAGCTAATAAAAATGCAAAAGCTGTGCCTTCTCTCTGGTAATCCAGAAAATGTAGATGAAAGCGACAATGAGACGCAGTTTGTGCCCAGCAGACTGGCCGAGATTTAAAAGCCTGAGGATGCAGGGGGCTGGTCAGGCTGTGAGGTTGGCAGGAGCTCTCGGGCATGGCTGGGAAGGTCTACGTTTCTGTCGGCCTCTGAAGATGGCATCGAAGGAGGGCTCTCCTTGTGCCCAGGAGACCCATGTGCAGATGGTCACTGGAGATGGTTCGTAACAGCAAGAGCCTGCCAGTGATGCAGATATCTGGGGGTCACATGACCAAAATTTGGTAGAGAGTACAATGGGACTGGATATATATATATATATATATATATATATATGTATATATATTAATTTCAGAGAGGAAGGAAGAGTCAGAGAGAGATAGAAACATCAATGATGAGAGTCATTGATTGGCTGCCTCCTGCACGGCCCACACTGGGGATGGAGCGAGCAACCCATGCATGTGCCCTGACTGGGAATTGAACCATGACCTCCTGATTCATAGGTCAATGCTCAACCACTAGCCACGCCTACTGGGATAGTTTTATCTTAATGTAACTTAAAAGAAAAGAAACCACGAAGTATTAAGACTTTGTAGTTCTATTATCAGTGGTTCTAAAAGTGGTTTTTGTCCCTAGACCTCGGCACTTGAGAACTTTTAGTGAAACAAATTCTCAGGCCCCAACCCAGACCTACTGAGTCAGACCCACCGGGGTGGGACCTGCAAGCTGAAATTTCTAAATATGTCTTTTCAATTGATTTTAGAGAGAGAGGAAGGGAGAGGGAAAGAGAGAAACAGCCATTGGCTGCCTCCTGCACACCCCCTACTGGGCATGTGCCCCATGGGGGACTTAAACCAGCTACCTCTTGGTTTATGGGAGGATGCCCAGCCAACTGAGCCACCCTGACCAGGTCACAGCTAAGTTTGAACACAGCCCTCATTATCCTTGTTCTAGTTGACAATGACATGGTGTTTACCATCTTGTTCTCTGTGATTTTCTATATTTTTTAAATTAAAAACTGAAATAAACACAAGCTTTTCTTTTCCATTCTCCCCAAGTCCCTCTGGGCTGTGTTAACTTCATCACTAAAGGCTGATTAAGAGCACAGACTTATCACTGCCATGTAAGGCCTTGGGTTCGGGCAGATCTCTTAATATCAAGCCAAAGGCAGAGGGAAAGTGGGCAGATTTATTAACTCTTATTCAAATGTGGGTTGTCCAGTAAGTACATCAGCCTGAAAATTGTGGTCCCTCGGACACTTCTCCCTCGTCATCTACAACAACCGACTGGCACGGAGGGTGTCAGGACAGCGCAGGCCCCAGGCCACTTTGAGGGGCAAGACCTACATCATGTCCTCGGGAAACAAGCTAGTTGGAGACTCAGGGTGTGTGAGAAGATGAGGTGCAAGACCGGAAGGCCTGGCTGTCAGACGTCTGGCATTATGACTGCCACACAGAACTCGGGGCGGGGGCGGGTCTGTGGACCGCTCTTTGGAAACTCAGCCTCTGTCAAGAGAGAGGAAGGTCATAGTTCAAAGAACCCCATGAACAAAGGTCGCAGGATTCTAACTCAAAGGCCATGTAAGCGATCTCAGTGCACATTGAGGGTGTGGAATCCATCTGCGATTTTTATCCTGGATGGATGGATGGATGGATGGATGGATGGATGGATGAATGAGTGAGTGGGTAGATGAGTGGATGGATGAGTGGATGGATGGATGGATGGGTGGAGCATTAAAACAGCTGAGTGATGGGATAACTTGTATGCCCAAAGCAGTGTCGCAGGAAGATAGGCCTGGCCTAGTGTCAGAGATGGACTAACGGCAGGAAAACCATCAGCAGTGAGATGTCAGGCTTGGAAGAGAATGAGGTTTCTCTGGTGAAGCAGATGCAGTATGGGATGTGGAGGAGTGAGAGGGGAAGAGGATTGTGAGAGCAACTCTAATGGCCATCTGAGTGCCACTGCTGCTGTAGAAGTCTACCGGGAAGGTAGTGCCTTAAATCAACACAAATGTGCCATGGTATGATTTGGAGGCCAGAGCGCAGACTGGTTCTCCCTGGGCTAACATCGGTGTGGGTGGGCTGTGCTCCTGTGCGGAGTCCGGGAGGAATCCTTCTCTTGCCTGCAGGCTGCCCACATCCCGTGGCTTGTGGCTCTTCCTCCACCATCAGACCTGCAGCCCAGATCTTCCCATCTCTGACCAGCTATCCTGCCTCCTGCTCCAACACTGGGCCCCTCACCCCCGACATGACTCGGGTGATCTATAACTTAATCGCATCTGCAGAGTCCCTTTTGCCATGTAAGGTGACCTCTTCCCAGGCTCCAGGGATTAGGATGAGGCCGTGTCTGGGGCTGTTGTTTGCCTACGGCGTGAATATGTCTGTAACTTGATGACTGCCTAGGGCAGTGATGGCGAATCTACGACACACGTGTCAGAGGTGACACGTGAACTCATTTTTTGGGTTGATTTTTCTCTGTTAAAGGGCATTTAAATATATAAAATAAATATCAAAAATATAAATCTTTGTTTTACTATGGTTGCAAATATCAAAACATTTCTATATGTGACACGGCACCAGAGTTAAGTTAGGGTTTTTCAAAATGCTGACACGCCGAGCTCAAAAGGTTCGCCGTCACTGGCCTAGGGTTTGGAAGAGAGGTGGAAAGCCTGCGTGGGCCACGTCGGCCCCTCGCTTCCTGTTAGCTGGTCTGTAAAACAGGGTGGTGAAGGGGGTGGGTGGGACTTCCTCCCGAGCCTCACACTGACTGGAATGTCACCATTATGGCATCTGCCATCTCTCTAGTTCCGCCCTCGCCTTCACTGCCTAGAACACAATGCCAGGTGATGTCACAAAGTCAGGTGTCGTTTGGGACCCAGGGAGTTAAAAACTTTCAAACTCTTATCAGAGAGAAAGACTGCAGTAGATGCTGCAGAGCTCGCGCAGCTGCTGGGGCTTTGTCTCGGGTTGGCAGCCTGGTTTTGTTTGCTGTTTTAAAGCACGTGCAGAAATTCTGCTGCGAACACACCGGTGCATTCATACCAATCATTTTGGACACTTCTCTCTCCTTACACCAGGTTGTCGGCGTCGCCCAGGCCATCAACAAGAAGTCGGGAAACGGCGGGACATTCACTGAGAAAGATGAGAAGGTACAGAGCGCGCGTCTGGTGTGATGTCTCCTCAGGGTGGACAGACTTGCAGAGGAGCTGCTGCTGACACTGCCTGTCACTAAGCACCCTGTGGGTTAACGTGATCTGAAATGGTCCGGTTGCCTCCTGTGGCAGACACAGTGACCAGCAGGGGAACCTGTGCCATCCACTTAGCTCCACTCTGTGTGGCCACGCCTCCCCCACGGCGTGTATGTGTGCGTGTGTGAGTGTGTGTGTGTGTGTGTGTGTGTGTGCATGCGCGTGTGCACACACATTGGGGCCATACAGAGGGTGATATGGACTTTCAGTTTGCTCACTACCTTTCATCACTGCTATTAAGAAATTCAGCCTTGCCCTGGCTGGTTTGGCTCAGTGGATGGAGTGTTGGCCTGTGGACTGAAGGGTCTCAGGTTTGATTCTGGTTAAGGGCACATGCTCAGGTTGCGGGCTTAATCCCCAGTAGGGGGCGTGCAGGAGGCAGCCAATCAGTGATTCTCTCTCATCATTGATGTTTCTATCTCTCTGTCCCTCTCCCTTCCTCTCTGAAATCAATAAAAATCAATTTAAAAGGAAAAAAAGAAATTCAGCCTCGAGTAAACCCCCTGGAGCCGTGCTCCAAGGCCAGCACCACAGGTCAGCTGGGCGTTGGACCTGCCCCCTGTGAAGCCCAATCACAATGTCCTCTAAGCTGGGCACATGGACGCAGGGCACCGAGGCGTGCATTCAGGCTGAGTGTGCGAACCAGCTCCGGAAAGCGGGCCGTCGGCATTGTCCTGTGACAGGCCACACACCATCTGCTTCCGCTCAGGACCGCAGCCCACACGCCTGGTCATGGCTGCATCTACTGGCGGGTTTGCTATCCCTCTTCCTGAAGAGGCATTACACGTGTGCCAGGGCGCCCTCCATCCTCGCCCCCCGCCCCCCAATTCCTCCTACTCAAGCCCAGTGCTGTTTCCGTCACTCCCTGAAAGTTAGGCGCTTTGGGAGACAAGACTTCTGTCTCCACGCTGGGGCTGTGTTGGCCCTGGTCTCGGTCTCTGTGTCTAAATTGCTCCAGAACAAAGCAAGTGCCTGTAAAGTCAGGGTCCTGGGCATCCACTCTCCTGTCTGTGAATGCCTCCTGAGCGTGAGTGGTGGACGCATGGCTCTAGGCAGCTTTCTGTGCCATTATCTGTTTATAGTTCATGAAATGTGAACCCCTCTAGAAAGGCCGGGATCCTTAGGCCGTATCACCACTTGGCAAAATGAATCCACGATTGTGGGTCCAGCGTGCCAGGTAAAGATCTATTTTAACCAACAAGCAATGTAAGTGTGAGCACACCACCTAAGTATAGTATATTGAGGACAATAGTTACCTGTTAAAAGGAACACAATTCAACTAATATCTGCAACTTTAGAGGGAAGTGTAATTGCCCGTCTTCTCCTAAGGAGCACGTGAGCTTTATTTGCCCCGAAAGAAGTTATAAGCCATTTGCATCTCCTCGGCATGGATTCGAGTCTTACCGACATTCAGAGGCCACACGAGTTTTTGCATAAGAGCAGGTTCCCATTTCTAATAAAGAGACCAGGTCTCCATACCACTCTCTCTCTCCTTGTTCATGTCTACCGAACTTACAACATAGGAGGCTGTGTCGGTGCTGGTCACCCACTAGGGGGTGCCACTTCGCTCACACCCACTCTGCCTCATTTCCTGATTTTATGTAGAATAAACATCTCTCCTTCGGGCTCTCCCGTATTTATTCAACTCTACCTAACGTTGGATGCCCTTTGTGTTTCCGGCAACAGACCCAGACAGTTGTAGAGACAATTCTCACTTGGTGTTGTCTGACCCGTTTTCTAGGACTTCGCCGCGTACTTGGCATTTTGTGGGATTGTTCTTCACAACGCACAACTCTACGAGACATCGCTGCTGGAGAACAAGAGGAATCAGGCAAGTCCGGGGCCTAGAGAAAGAGCTCAGAGATTCTTCTTTAAATGTGTTAAAATGTTTATCTAATATATGCGTGTGATTTTTAGCCAATCTCTGTGCACGACTGAAAATGCAAATAGCACAGATTCAGTTTCTAAATATGACGGTTGTTCCTTCTAATAGTTAATTCTGCTTCCTTCTTCCCAAGTTCATAACCGTTGGGCAGTGTTCACTAATGAACAGGGGAGGGCTTATTTGGCTTTCACCACCCTTTGCTTGCATGACCCTTAGCGGACCAGTATCATCGGTCACTGTTTTGAGTTATGGGGTGGGTTGCCTTTGTCATGTTAAATAAAGCTTTCAGTTCTTGCTCCATCGACAAGAGATGTCATCTCTTGATTCCATGCTTCATAAGACCAGGACCTCAGCATCTCTCATCTCTCCTTCCCAACTACTCCTCACCTCTGTTTTCCCATCTGGACTTTTTCTTTTATGTCGCCCACATGGATGACATATATATTGTCTACAACCATGATTAACTGTGTGGGTTTTTGATTGTTGTTTTGTTTGTTTTTTTGTTTTTTACCTCTAGGTTAATTCTAAAGTTGCAATTTCAAACAAGGTGTTCAGAAGTGCCAGGGCTATGAGAATGTTGTTCATGTTAGTTTTTCTGGATGTTTCTGAATTCCACTCTTTTTCCCTTGAACTGTTTGCTCTGGTGTCATCTCATGCTGTTGGTCCTCCCACACCGCGACTCTCCATTATTTAGGAATTCTGTGGAGTTCTTTTTCTCGGAGATCTCCAAGTTGATGTTCTCCCTCTTGCCTCTTTCAAGCCAAACTGTGTCACCCCATGACTGCTGCCCAGGTGTCAGCATAGAACTGCCCTTCACGGCTTAAGGCTCATCTGCAGCCATGGATCCCACAACTCCTCTCTCAGCGCATCCCCTTGTTGTATTGCTGCACATTCTCAAGTAGCTCTATGAGGAGGGGAGTGGTGAAGGAAGCTTTCTGAATCCTGGCATGTATGAAAATGTCTATTGTACCATCCTGGCAAGTTTTGCTGGGTACAAAATTCTCAAATGAAAAAAAAATCAGTTCCTCAGATTTTAAAGGTAGTGCTTTGTCTTCTAACTAGTATCCATGTTGTTCTGATTCTTGGTTCTGTGTAGATTTTTTTAAATGTCTGTAAGCTTTTTGGATTATTTCTTTATCTTTGCTTTGGTAACTTAATTTCACAATATGACTTTTTCTTTTCCCTTTTAATTTATCATGCTGATACCTGGTCATCCCTTTCAGCCTGGAGGCTCATACCCTTCCGTTTTATGTGATTCTTTTTCATTATTTCTTTGATGACTCTTCTCCCCTGCTCTCTATTTTTTCTCTTTTGAACTTGTATTAATAAGACATTGGACCGCCCTAACCAGTTTGGCTCAGTGGATAGAGCGTTGGCCTGCGGACTCAGGGGTCCCAGGTTCGATTCTGGTCAAGGGCATGTACCTTAGTTGCAGGCACATACCCAGTGGGGAGTGTGCAGGAGGCAGCTGATCGATGTTTCTCTCTCATCGATGTTTCTAACTCTCTATCCTTCTCCCTTCCTCTCTGTAAAGAATCAATAAAATATATTTTTTAAAAAATAAGACATTGGACCTTCCATTGCCTTCAACTGCGGTATCTCCGTAACTGTTCCCATGCTCTCTGCTTGTCATCCATTCACCCAGACCGCGTGTTCACGAGCACAACTGTGACCCTGTCACTTCCTTTCTGCAAACTGTCGCCATCCAACTGCTTCAAGAGATATACAGGGTTTCGGGTTGTTTCTCTGTTTCACTCTCCAACCTCATCTGCCCAGCTCTCCTCTTTACACTCCATATGCACATGAAACTTGATCGAAGCTAGCAGTATAGTGCGCTGCTTTTTCTCAATTCAGTTCTTTTTGACTGAAATAGTCCCCTTCCCCCACTTCACCTCAATGATTTCTACTCATCTTTCAGGCCTGGGCTAGGACAGTATCACCTCCAATAATTTTTTTGTAATATGTACACTTTCTACCCCCTCATCACACACATTCTTTGTGACATTGGAAGAAATTCTGTGGAATTCAAAGGAAAGAGAAATTACCAGGAAAATCACAAAAAGAACTAATGCTTTATTTACTTTGGACAGTATTTAATATGTCCTGTGAAAATGTCGATAAACATTAATACACATTTATTATTTATGAACAACGTGTTTTAAGTGTCATATGCTGTTCAAAATGCCTTATGAATGTTAACTTATTTAGTTCTTCCGGCATTCCTATGATTTTGGTACTACTGTTATCCCCATTTTCAAGAAATTTCCCCTAAATCACAAAGCTGGCAGGAAGGGAAGTCGGAATTAAACTCTAATGACTCTGGCTGGATTCAGAGTCTATGATAGGACCACTGTACTAACTGTAATAACAATTGTTAGTAAGCAGAATGCAAACTTGCTTGTAACATGTTAGATTAAATATATATAAACAACGTATAGCTCATATATATCATTATATTGCTTTAGTGGTCACAAGCAATCCTATATAGTAAAAGTCTAATACGCTAAGTGTCTGGTAGTCCAGTCGTCCATTCAACCAATCAAAGCATAATATGCTAATGATATACTAAGGTCGCTCAAGTGCTCACTATGACGTGCACTGGCCACTGGGGGACAGACGCTCTGACCGGTAGGTTAGCTTGCTGCTGGGGTCTGGCCAATTGGGACTGAGCGAGAGGGGTCAGATATGCCCTGGAGCCCTCCCACAGTCCCTCCCCAGCTCTCCAACCTCCCATATCCCTCCCTGACCCCGATCATGCACCAGTGGGGTGTGTTGGCTTGGCCTGCACCCTCTCGCACTCCAGGACCCCTTAGGGGATGTCAGAGAGCCGGTTTCAGCCCAATCCTGCAAGCCAGGCTGAGGGACCCCACTGGTGCACGAATTGGTGCACCGGGCCTCTAGTTACTAAATATGAAGCTTGTGGTGTCTTTTTGTCAGGTGCTGCTTGACCTGGCCAGCCTGATTTTTGAAGAGCAGCAATCCTTGGAGGTCATTCTGAAGAAGATCGCTGCCACGATTATCTCCTTCATGCAGGTGCAGAAGTGCACCATCTTCATCGTGGATGGAGACTGCTCCGTGAGTACAGAGTATGGCTTTTTTCTTGTTAGAAAGACAGACACGGAGATTCCTGGGGCCACTGCTTGTAAACCCCATGTTAGCCTCGAACCCTCTCCTAAACCCTGGTCATGCAAAGCTGATGATAGTAGACCTGTCCTGGTTGAAGACAGGTAGGGGTGGGGAGAGGGTGCCTCAGTGTCCCTCCTCAAAGCGGTCACCCTGGGCGTGTCCTATGCTGCTGTGGTCAGCGGCTCCATGGCCTCGATGGGGAAACGCATTGTCGTTAGTGCTGACCTCCCATGGTTGGAAGAGCAGTGCCACGGCTGCTAGGAGCAGGGAGATCCCCATTCTGAACGGGTTGGGTAGCACATTTTCTTTTCTTTTTTAAATAGGTTTCTCATCTTATTTATTTACTTATTTTTTTATTGATTTCAGAGAGGAAGGGAGAGGGAGAGAGAGATAGAAACATCAATGATGAGAGAGAATCATGGATCGACTCCTTCTTGCACACCCCCTTCTGGGGATAGCCCGCAATCCAGGCATGTGCCCTTGACAGGAATCGAACCCGGGACCCTTCAGCCCACAGGCCAATGCTCTATCTACTGAGCCAAACCGGCTAGGGCCATGTTATCTTTTGCCGGAAATACTTTAAAAAACAAAGGGATGGCCCAATAGAGGCTGCATTATTAAAGCTGCCTGTGGGTCTCCAATCCTTTACCAGCAATGGGAAGCCACCAAACAGTTCTGAGTGGTAAATTTCAATCCACCGATCTGTAACGTAAAGAAAGGGATGGGCCCTGGCCTATTTGGCTCAGTGGATAGAGCTTCGGCCTACGGACTGAAGGGTCCTGGGTTTGATTCTGGTCAAGGGCATGCACCTTGGTTGCAGGCTTCTCCCTGGCCCGGGCCCTGGTCAGGGCTCATGCAGGAGGCAACCCATCGATGTGTTTCTCTCACATCGATGTTTCTCTCTGTCTTTTCCTCTCTCTTCCACTCTGCCTAAAAAATCAATGGGAAAATATCCTCGGGTGAGGATTAAAAAAAGAAAAAGCAAGAAAGAGATGTGTGGCCCAGCTGGCGTGGCTCAGTGGTTGAGCATCGGCCTAGGAACCAGGAGGTCACGGTTCAATTCCCAGTGTGGGGCATGCCTGGGTTGCGGGTTCGACCCCCGGTGTGGGGCGTGCAGGAGGCAGCCGATCCATGATTCTCTCTCCTCCTTGATGTTTCTCTCTCTCTCTCTCTCTCTCTCTCTCTCTCTCTCTCTCTCTCTCTCTCTCCTTTCCTCTCTGACATCAATAAAAAATATATTTTAAAAATAAGAAAGAGATGTGTGTGAGAGGTGGTTCTCGTAGGGGGCTGGTTGCCTCTCGATGGGCCAGCCGCGCTTGCTGTTAGAATCGGGGCCCCTGGCCGAAGGCAGTTTTCCTTTCTGCAGTGTCTTTCCCTTCTCAGCCTGTGAACCACTGCTGCCAGGAGACTTCTGTTTGATGTCCTTGTTCCTCTTCTTTTCCCTTTAGACCCTGGCAATAGGCTCCTTATTGGAGGGTTAGTGGGAAAGAGAGTGGGGTCACCACTTGTATCAGTCAGCTTCCACCATGTGTGATATCTGAGCTCATGTTTTTGGGAGAAAGCAGAATAAAATATATTTAATACTTATATGTAAAGTCTTTACATTGTTTTAGGTAGTAAGATTGCACTGTAGGACCCAACATTATCCAAATCAGTGTGTGTGTGTGTGTGTGTGTGTGTGTGTGTGTTATTCTCATTAATAGGATATCAATTAGGAACTCTCTATGCTGTAAGATAACCGGTATTCTCGTAGATACCACTTCATATGCTTAATCAGTTATAAAACCTGTAATGTAGAGATGATTATAAGAGAGTAGCCACCGTTTTAAAGTCCAGGTCAGCACTCACTAATGCAGTCTGTCAACTGAGCACGTTTCCCCTGCGATTTACTGTTGGAAAGTTATACACGAGGCCCCCTTTTTCAGACACTGGAAATGTGATTAGCATTCGGCTCCAGCTTCCCCGGTTGACCCTGTCATGGCAGCGTCTGCCTCGGCTCACTGGTGCTTTGAATAAAGCCTACCCACAGGCCCGCTGATGCACTTTGCTCACTTTTTTTTTTAAACACTATATTTTTTATTGATTTTTTACAGAGAGGAAGGGAGAGGGATAGAGAGTTAGAAACATCGATGAGAGAGAAACATCGATCAGCTGCCTCCTGCACACCCCCTACTGGGGATGTGCCTGCAGGCAAGGTACATGCCCTTGACCGGAATCGAACCTGGGACCCTTCAGTCCGCAGGCCGAAGCTCTATCCACTGAGCCAAACCGGTCAGGGCCACTTTGCTCACTTTTAACAACTTCGGTTGTTGGGTTTAGATAGGGAATTAAGTGACTTGATTTATGTTGCAGTTAGTTACCGATGAAAAGTATTTCAACAGCGTGAGCCAAAATCAAAATGTGAGCAAGAAAAGAAACACACGCGTGCTCCTCTCTCCTGTCCCCGCGTCACGCTCACATCAGTGTTTTAGTCCTGCTTCCTTCCGATTCTTTATTCAGCCGCGAGTATAGCTCGGCTGCAGATATGTACCTGCTTTTCAGTGTAACTTCAAAAACGTTTCTCTCTGTTGCTCAAACCTGCCCAATTGTTTGGCTCTCACAGAATATGACTGCATGGGATGTGTTTCTAAAAAGCCATTCCTCTCCTGGGATCTAGCAGCAGCAATCGATGTCTGCATGAAGGCAGGAACTGGAGGGTTTTGAAGAAATATAGAGAAATTTCGAAGCTGACATTTATTAACACCTGGTAGAGAAAAAAGAGTGCTCAAAGAAGCATTCTAGGCAGTGGCGATCAGAAGCTGTAGGAACATGGCTTTAGTAGCCTGATGCGGTGACGTGAGCGCTCGGTCCAGTTCCCTCGGAGAGTAAGTAGACAGACGTAACAAACACCAGCGCGGTCATTCCTCAGGCCCGTGTCTGCGCGGACGCCTGGTACAGCCTCGTCACACTTACTCCGGCCTTGTCCCTCTGTTTCCAGGATTCCTTTTCCAGCGTGTTCCACATGGAGTGTGAGGAGCTGGAGCGATCATCCGACACTGTGACAAGGTAAAAGAACTCCGCCTGGATTCACCAGCCTGCGAAACAGGCTACAGCGTCGTTCCGTGACCCAGTTAATTTCAGACGCAGATGCTGTTGACTTTTATGTTCCCCGCAAATAATTTGGTTTGTGAAAATACTGTGCTGTTGGATGTTATAAAGTCCCAGGGTTTGTGTTGTGTTGTGTTGTGTGTACTCCAGCTAGGAATTCTTTCACAGAGTGAACGGTCCCAATGAGCACAGGCGTGGGCACCGTGTGTCCTGGGAGCTGGCTCATGGAGGGCCCCCCAGGGCTCTATTTCAATTAGAGTTTTCACTGCATATCGGAGACCCCTGGACATTTGACAGTTTCTAGACAAAGTTTTCCGCGAATCTGTTCTGATTTCGAGTCAGCAGGGGATTCAATGCAGAAGGGAGCCTGCTGCCGAGTCACAGTCGTGTGCCGACCCTGGGGCTGGAGACAGAGCAGGTGTCCATTGGAGCTCACTGGTTTTCATGTTTTTTATGATGTTTAAATTCTTATTCGCCTTTAAATTGTTGCTCAGAAAGAGCAAAGTGTTGATGTGCTGGAGGGTGTGGTGCTCCTGGCCCTGTTTTGTCTGTGTGCTCCCACCGCCCCGTGCACTCCGTGCGAGCTGCTGGCGCTGGCTTGCCATGGGCTTTCCTGCAGAGTGTGGTCCGCCAGCCTCCAGCGACCGGAAGGCCTGGCAAATGCTGATTATCACGGGACCTGTTATTCATTTCCTTCCAATCATTTTCCCAGAAATTATTGATATTATATCATTTGATCGTGGAAATAGGACATTATCTTAACAACATCTCTGCCTCCCACACGTGGGCTTCAGGCCGGACTGCCTCGTTCAGCGGCGGAGTTCCTCATTCTTAAGACGAGCACTAATCTAGATCACTTTGATTTTAGGATGCTGTGACATTTTTGTTGCTTTTTTATAAAGAACATTTTAGAAAGCTTCCAGATAAGACACAGAATTATTGGACTAGTTTACTTTTTGGCTTGCATAAATAATGAATTTATATAGGTACAAATATAAACATGTTTATTTAAGACTTTACATACGTTATGGGATTAGGAAATTGGTGTGATAGGGAGTATTAAATGTGTAAAATTATGAAGTACCTACATTTGCCTTTGAAAATTTGTGCAGCAGCATGTTTGTGTAATTATTTTCATTCGCATTTTGAGTTTTATTATTAATTCAGCCAGGTCCTCTAATTCCTGGCAGTGATAGCTGAATTCCTAGCCCAGTGACTTGGTGTGATAGTGACCCCTACTGGTGAATATGTTTTTTTTTTTAAAAAAAGCTAAGTCTTACTATACAGCAGCAGTTTTCAACCTGTGGGTCGCACCCACTTTGGGGGTCGAATGATCCTTTCACAGGGGTCGCCTAAGACCATCGGAAAACACATATATAATTACATATTGTTTTTGTGATCAATCACTATGCTTTCATTATGTTCAATTTGTAACAATGAAAATACATCCTGCATATCAGATATTTACATTACGAGTCATAACAGTAGCAAAATTAGAGTTATGAAGTAGCAATGAAAATAACTTTATGGTTGGGGGTCACCACAACATGAGGAACTGTATTAAAGGGTCGCGGCATTAGGAAGGTTGAGAACCACTGCTATATAGTATATTTACTTTCTTACTATATATTTGATTAGTTCCTGGTGAATACCATATTCCCTTTCTGTAAGCAAAATAAAGGTATCTTTTCATTTATGTTTTTAATCATTTCAAAACAGTCTTAATATAAATATATTTCCTTAAAAAGATAGCTAGTTGGGTATGATTACCTTAAAGGAGATAATTTGCATGGATCATTTTAACTGATTCATAACTGATTTTACAGTAATGAAAATTATTTAGCACGAATGCCTTATTTCCGCTAAACATTTTGAACTTAACTGCTATTCTAATGATGCATTTAAAGACATCTTAGTGATTTTTGAAAAAATAAAAATTAGATATGAGGCTGAGTTTTGCAAAAACGCTGATTGGAATGATGTTTAATAGCTCCTGCATTTTGAAATAGGACTAACCTGGTACTCACAGTCACCATCAGAGTCTTCGTTCTCTTTCTAAAATTGCTTATGGATAGAACTCGGGCCCCTCTCGCCCTCACTGGCCCACACTGCAGTCCAGACCCTCTTCCATGGAGTGTCTGTGGAGGGAGAGGTGAGCAGTGAGGAAATCAGTCCTCGTAGGCAGTATGTGTCCGCTTAAAAGCCTGGCTCATTTGGCATCTTTCCAGCCAGCCCGCTTCTCTTTCATAAATAAAGTGATGTGTTAAAGACAGCTGTGAAACGTTAAGTGTGAAACACTCAGGGTGCACAGGATGCAGAATTATTAGCGTCGGGTCACCGTGGGAGGAAGCGAGGGCTGAGCTGGGAGGTGGGCCCGAGGATCGGGGAGGGAAGCGCATTTCCAGATGGGGGGGGGTCAGTTCATTCAAACTGAAGAGCCACCAATTAGAAGGGGAAAGGGAGTGTGACTGTGCACCGTTTACGTTAGCATTTAATTTTAGGAAATAGTGCTATTATTCCGTATTCATTCCCTGTTAATTTATAAATCCACGTTTTTATCATAAAACAACACATACATAGGGTTAATCCTCTAAGCTCACTTTCTTGGAATATATATATACGGAACTAATTAATACTTATTGATGATAATTATATTAGAAACATAATTTTAGTTAAATACAGTAACACCTACAACTTAACAATGTAGTGAAAAGGATTTTACCACGTTGAAAAAAACTGTGGAGGCGGAGGAGGAGAGTGCAGACTCTGAAATCAGACTAGTTGCATTTAAGTTGCACCACTTTACCGGCTCTAGGGCTTTGTGTAAATTATCGTACCTGTGGAGGCCTCAGTTTCTCCATCTGTGAAATGGGCACACTTGTACAGGAGCAGGACTGTAGCTCGCGCTGAGCGAGATAATTCCGGGACATAGTAAGTTCTCCGCATTCACCGCTATTTCTGTCCCTCTGCTGTGTCTTTCTGTCTTTGGCTTACACGCCTGCAGCTTCCAGTTAGCTCTAAAGCACAGACGTTTCTCAGTGTGTCCCCCGTGTCCCCCCTCACCCCCGTCTTCCCGAGGTGTCCGCCGATACACCCACTGATACCCGCTGTGCGAAGAGCCTCGGACGTCTGAGTGAGCCAGGGCCTCGGAGAAGCGGGTGCTGAGACTGGACTAAATATGCAAGACATTCAGGAGGGAGAGAGGGCGGGGAGGGTCTGGGGAGGGTCTGTGGAGGCGTCTCAGACAGGGGTGAGGCCTCGGGCAGGGCTGCGGGGAGCCACCCTGTCGGGAGAGTCCCAGCTGTGGTGTCACCCTCCCTCGCAGCGCTGGCCAGCGTGGCCTCCGTGCAGCCGTGGCCGTGGCTTAGAGCCGCTCCCCGCAGCTGGAGCCGGAGGCGCCTTGCAAGGCCACCGGGAGACCCCTGTGATTTCAAGCCTGAGGCCCTCTTCCTCGCATGGCACCTTCCACGCCACCCGCTGCGGTCTTAGGTGGATCTTGGCCAATTGTCCTGGGCCCGAAGCCGCAGCCGCACGCCTGATGACTGGTGATGCCATGGCTTCCAGACGCGCAGACTCAGTTTCAACACTGTCGTGTTTGATGCTGTTTTTATTCCCTTCCTGGATGCCCCCCCCCCCCCATGTCTTTCTTCACATCCTTACGTCCTGAATTACCAGCCTTTCACAGTCCCTCCAGCACCGCCTCTGCCCTGACCAGCTCCTTAGGTGCACCAGCCCTCTCCTCCCCACGCCCCGGCCTCTCCTCCTCCAGAGGCCCCGCCCTCTCCTCCCCACGCCCCGCCCTCTCCACTGGCCCTGCCCTCTCCTCCACAAGCCCCGCCCTATCCTCCTCCACACACCCTGCCCTCTCTTCCACATGCCCCGCCCTCTCCTCCACACGCCCCGCCCTCTCCACACGCCCCACCCTCTCCGCACGCCCCCCCTTCTCCTCTGCACAGGCTGGTACTATTGCCAGCTGCATTCCTTAGTGTCCGGCTGGGTCCTGCATCATAAAAACCCCAGTGAAAGGTGCTCAGCGAGCGCAGTGCTGCTCCTCCTGGAAGAGCTGGAGGTGGCGGCTCAGGTGCTCACAGGCCTGGGGACCCAGGCACCCGGTTCCCCTGCACCGTCAGGTGTGGCCCTCCCCTTTGGGGTCAGGGAGGCCGCTCCTGCGTCCTTTCCCGGGTCAGAGGGCTGTGGGGGACCAGGCAGGATGGGCAGAGAAATGCAGCAGCTGCCTCTTCGCGGAGGCTTCTAGAAGCCATCACGTTTTCTCTCTTGTCCTATGGACTTGAACTTACATGGCATCCAGCCCCAGGTGGCTGAGCCCGAGCCTTCGTTCTGGGGCCAGGGGTGCAGGTGCAAGGGAGGGTCCGGAGACTGGGCGCTGCCCGGCAGCGTGTGCAGCTGAACGCCGACCACAGCAGCGTGACAGCCGCTGACCCGCGTGGGCAGGCTCCGTGGGACACTGACCAGGCCTCCCCGGCCCCGGGCACTCAGGCTGTGCCTACCGAGCGTGAGAAGGAAGCTCCCTCCGCATTCCTCCCCGAGTGAGAAAGGAAATGATAACTCAGTAACCCCAACACCACTTTTCCCTAAAGTGACCATTAGGAACTGGAAAGCTTCGGGGAATTAAAAGAACGGGGTTTCTGAAAAGTCATGGACGTGTGGCTACTTCTCCCTGTCAGCGTCTCTAAGTCGGATTTTACCCTCCCCCGCAAGTGACTAACTATTTTGGGTTTCATCCGGCTCCCGCTGTGAACAGGATGATGGTAAGGATAATAAAAGCCATTAATAGCATCATTATCACTTCCTCTCCAGCCCCTCTTTCTCACGGTGACCTCGCATTTCTTATCTTTCCAAAAGCCTGTCTTCCTTCCCCGAGACTCTTGCTGTCCGTGGAGGATCCGCAGTTTTATAGTTTGCTTAATGAGCCTAAAGCCCACACTTATCTCGAGCTTTTCCTGGGATTCCCTCCAGATTATCTGTGTGGAGCGGGTTGGCTTCAGACTCCTCACTCTTGTTCACTCACACGTAATACCAGGCACATGGTCACTGGGAAAATATTCTAAGTCAGTGGTTCTCAACCTTCTGGCCCTTTAAATACAGTTCCTCATGTTGTGACCCAACCATAAAATGATTTTCGTTGCTACTTCGTAACTGTAATGTTGCTACTGTTATGAATCATCATGTAAATATCTGATATGCAGGATGGTTGTAGGTGACCCCTGGGAAAGGGTCGTTCAACCGCCAAAGGGGTCGCGACCCACAGGTTGAGAACTGCTGTTCTAAGTGAATGAGAATCTTTTGAAGAAGATACATTTTTATGCTTTTTATGATCTTAAAAAGTATCCTAAAAGATCTGAAAGAAAGGAGACGTGAGCTTGCTGAGTGAAGCTCGTCTCCGCGTGTGGGCTCTCCCTGGATTTGAAATGTGGGAGAGATTGTTGAGGCGGGTACGTAGAGGAAATAACCGAAGAATAGAACAGGCTGGTCCTTGGTCACTCTATCGTCTGATGAAAACGAGACCTGGCAGGGAATTCAGGTGGATTTTACATCCAGCGGCACAACAATCAACAGGCCCGTCGGCGATGGCAAGGAGATGACTTAGGGCTTTTAAAAACTTGCTGTGGGTCCTTGGAAAATTGCGGGTCTTTGTCTTTGCAAACCATTTCAGTTCTAGTAACCAGCCAAGTTGTCAATCGGGAAGTGCATTTCAAGCCGCCTTTCCTAAGTAAGACATGCACTTGCCCGATGGCCGGAGACCTGTTTGTCTCTCTTATGTCGTTTCTTTAACTCCACTGCCCACAGAGCGCTCACCTGCGTTCCTCCCACAGGGACCGGGATGGGAGCCAGATCAACTACATGTACGCTCAGTACGTCACTAGCACCATGGAGGCGCTCAACATCCCCGACGTCAGCAAGGACAGCAGATTCCCCTGGGCGGTGAGTAGCCGGTGTGGGGCTCGGAGTGCGCGCGGCCTTCCCTGACCAGATGCCCTTAGCACCTGCCAGGAGCTGGGTAGCTATGCTTGAGTACTTCCCTGTGTACTTTCACGCGTTTTTAAATAATTCATTGGCACGTGAGATGATTGCTCTATTGCCCACTTCATGTCAGTGATGGCCCCAAGACAGGCTTGCTAGCGTTCTTGAGTTTATCCTCAAAAGGTAAGTTTTCTGTGGCTTGAAGTGACGTAGCTGGTGACCCACCACAGCGAGCAGCTCCATGGAGAATGAATATCTGTTTTCCCTGACAACAAGGCGGCAAAGACCCGTTTCTCAGCCATGGGAAACTTTGAATCCTGGTATTTTCTCTCCTTTTACTTCAGAGAAGCATTGCATGTGGAGGCAGCTGCCTTGCTGTTGTTGTTTCATATCTAGGAGGCCTCTTAGAAGTCAGCAGTATGGGCAGTGGACACAGTGATCATGCGTCCACAGAGGGCCAGTGTGTAACACGTGGTGTCGGGGGGGAGGGTTGACTCTTCTGGATTTGGCTCCTCTTGTTAGGCTACCAGAGACGCCTCCTCCAGGTACAGTGCATGCTAGTACTGTAAGCTGCTGGGAACGTTTAAAATGGGAACAAAGAAATCTAGGATATATACTCGCCCGATTGATGTTTTTAGAGAGAGAGGAAGGGAGAGGGGTGGGGGAGAGGGAGAGAGAGAAACATCGGTGTGAGAGAGACACATCGATTGGTTGCCTTCCGCATGCACCCCTATTGAGCCTGCAACCGAACCACATGCCCTTGAATACGAATCAAACCTGTGACCCTTTGGTCCATGGGCTGGCACTCTAACCACTGAGCCAAACCAACCAGGGCTAGGTTATTTGTATTTTTAATAATATACAAACTAATTGCTTTCTATTGCATTCATGTGAATGCCACTGTACTTCGTATATTTTCTGCACTCTTATCACTCCATCTAATAAAAGATGACTATGTTAGTGGGTTTAGATGTCCAATGTAGTTTACATAACAGCATCTAATGGGAAAATCACTCTTTTTGTAATTTTTTGCTGTTGTTTTGTTTTGTTTAGAATGAAAACATGGGGAACGTAAGCCAGCAGGGCATTCGAAGTTTGCTTTGTACGCCTATAAAAAATGGAAAGAAGAATAAAGTGATAGGTAAGTAAGCTTTTCATTAACCTCCACGCTGCCCTTACTAAAGAAAAAAAAATAATGTATTCCCAGAAATTTCTGTCTTTCAAGTGTAAATTTAAAGAATAAAATGTGTAAAAGATAAAAATTGAAATGATAAAAGGATGTTCAACTAACCACAGGCATTTGGTGCATGTCTTATTAACTATGATGTACTTTCTGTAATTATTGTAATCCTGTTTTAACAGCGTTTTTGTTTAAGGGTGATGTGTTGAGAGTTAGTAGACTGAGAAACATCGAGTTGATCATGTGCCTTGTTTTAGAGTCTCATTTCTTGGTTTCTGTTTTTTCTTTCTTAAACATGTGGTTTAGATTGTAGGTTGTACTGATTCATTCATCAGAAGTATCTAGCAAGCTCCCTACCGCTCTAGGCTCTGGGGTGAAACAGTCAACAAGTGAGCAAAAAAATTTAAAAATGCCAGAGGGAACCATTAGACCTCTCTTGGCGTACGGTTTGTGTCCCCACTTGAGAACAGAGTCTGCAGTAAGCAGATGCTGTTTTTGGAGAGGAAAATTCCCTGTAAATTAAATGGATTTAAAAATGATCCCCCGGGTGGGGTTTTAGCTGGGGACTCAAGTTGGTTCCAAGTAAAGGAGGAACTTGCCAGTGTTCCTGCTGTTTCATAAGTGGGAGAGACAAAGCATTTCAATGCTTGACTAGACTGTGCACCCCAGAGGCAGCCTGGAAAATGTCAGGGCTGTAGATCATTTTTCTTGCCTGTCACAGACCAGATTCTGCGATTGTGTCGTTCTAATAGAGAATCCACACAGAGCTACAGACAGAACACAGATGGACCATGTGTTTTCTGTCATCTTTCCCTCCTTCCCCTGCTCATCCTTGTCCATTACTGACATTAAGGTGACATCACAGACATTAGGCCAGTGGGGGCCTGTTGTCTTGACAGATGTACACTGAGGTTTTGTTTCCCGAACATGTCTCCTCGGTGCTCTGGCTGACAGTGTTTCCACCACTTTGCTTCCAACGCTGTAAAGGAAACACTTTCCTATTCAACATTCATTTATTTAACCAACTAGTCCCCCTACTTATTAGGCTAAATGTGCCTTTTTCCCATATTGTATTTACCAGAAATCCTTCTGCCTGTTATTCACACCAACTCCTATTGCTCACACCAATTCCTTCTATTAGTCACAATTCCTATGTTCCCACCAACTTCTATCATTCATACCAACTCCTATTGTTCTCATCAACTCCTCTTGTTCACACCAACTCCTATTGTTCATACCAACTCCCCCTATTGTTCACACCAACTCCTATTATTCACAATTTCTATGTTCACACCAACTCCTATTGTTCTCACCAATTCCTCCTCTTGTTCACACCAGTTCCTCCTATTGTTCACCAGCCAACTCCTACTGTTCATACCAACTCCTCCTATTGTTCACACCAACTCCTGCTATTCACAATTCTTATGTTCACACCAACTCCTATCATTTACACAAATTTCTATCGTTCTCCCCAATTCCCCCTGCTGTTCACACCAACTCCTATTGCTCACAGCAGCTTCTCCTATTGTTTGCACCAGCTCCTCCTATTGTTCACACAAACTCTAGGACATTTTTTAAAAGGAATTATCCCATTCCCATCCAAAGAAATAAAAGTTTAGTCCATCTCCACTGTAAATAACTTACGTTTCCATGTCTTTGTTAGTGCCAAGTCTAGTACAAAGTACAGTGTTCTACTACACACTGCCTGACTGGGAAGCATGAGACAGTAATAATCGGAATGGAATGAGAAAAAATAACACTAAGACATTACAGCTTAAAATTATCAAAGTGAAAATTTATAAAGTGAAAACAAATATGGATGTTAAGGTTTCAAGCATCGATTGAAGAAACAGAGAAATGAGACAGATGTCATTCTAGCACCAGGAGACAGAGAAGGCTGCCTGTTGGGCCAGAAATGCCGAGGAGTTTCTGAAAGATCTGAAGAATACGCCGCTTGCAAGAACACATTTCACACAAAAGGGACAAAATTTGAATAGAGATAATAACATCAGACAAAATGGAATTTAAGGTGAAAACATCATGTAAAGGGTCTCTGTGGGGAAGCCTGAGACGTGGTTGGAAAGTTGTGAGAAGGACATTGCAAGGAAAGGGAGGAAGGCTGTCTGCCCTGTTTATTGGAATTCCGACTTAGGGGAGTGTCAAAGGCAGCACCCCTAATTATTCCTTGACTTTTCCAAACAAGTCTGTGCACGTGCAGACCCCCGGGTGTTTACTGGAATCCTTTCGCTTAATCTCTGAATGCCCTTACCTAGAGATAGTGTGAACACACGTGTCCTCCCAAGATTACTCACCCTATTGATTGTATCTAAAAAATACACTTCATCTCAAACTGTAATAAAAGCCTAGTGAGGCAGGCAATCTGGGCTGCCTGGTCCTCTCTTTCACAGCAAACGTTGTGTCAGAGTAATCCATTCATCTGTTGCTCAGGGTCCACTGGTCACCCCCGGCAGGTCTCCACATTGATTAGATTTAAAGTCCACAGAGGAAAGTGTAATTGTCATAAGTGCTTCTAATAAACTGAAAAACATCATTGACATATAAAAGCCAAAGCTGTTAAAAATACAAGGAGAAATGGACAAAATGGCAATCCATGCAATGTTAAAGAAAGGGGGGAAGTGAGGGAACATTAGAATTGATTAATATAAAAATGAAATGGACCTACTCGGCATATGTATACTTTTTATCTCATAATTTAAAAATACAAATTCCTGTCAAATATCCATCCATATTTCACAAATACTGTTGATAGTCACACACACAACACAAGCTCAGTGACTTCTGAGGAGTGGAATTGACAGCCACTCTCCTGGACCGTGATGCATTAAAGCTGGATGTGCAGAATGAAAGGGTCATTGGGAAGGAGAAAACTCTCTCAGAAACTGGATGTGTTCTCCTGAATGACACAGAAGAACTCCAAAGTCAGAACGAGAGCACAGTAGTTCCGTGGTTTCAACTACTCCATGTCCTAATTCATTAAATGGAAAATTCCAGAAATAGGCAATTTATACATTTTAAATCGGATGACCTTCTGTGGACAGTGATGAAATCTCGAGAGTTTCATGCCATCTTGTGTGGGATGTGACCATCCCTTCCCCCCATCTCCACCTGTAGAAGCCCACCTATTTTTAGCATTGCCTTATTTCATTATTACTGTGCCTAATTTATCAATTACACTTTATCCTAGCTGTGTATGTACAGGAGAAATCTTACCAGATAGGGGGTCTGGAACTCGCCATGGTCTCAGGCCTCCTCTTGGGGTCTTTGGACGTATCCCCCGTGGATAAGGGAGCATTTTAGAAAATTAGTGGTTGTATTGATATAACAAATACTCAAGGTACATGGTCAAAGCTATACACTCGGGAGATATATAGTTGTAAATATTTTGTTATTATTAATAACAAATAAAATTATTTGAATTAAGTGGTCAACTGAAGACATTAGAAAAACAGGACTTTCTCTTTTTCACCCTCTACTCTGCCCCCCAAATAAATAAAAAATAGGAAGAAATAAAGCAGAGGGAAAACGATGAAAATATAAACTTATGAACTGGGAAGGGATTAAAATAAGAGATAATGTGCAAACACAATAATAATAAACCTCCAACAGACCACCCTATATAATAAAAGGCTAATATGCAAATCAACCGAATGGCAGAACGACCAGTTGCTATGATGTGCACTGACCACCAGGGGGCAGACGCTCAATGCAGGAGCTTACCCCTGGTGGTCAGTGCACGCCCACAGCAGGAGCACCACTCAGCCAGAAGCCGGGCTCACAGCTGGCAAGAGGGCTCTCAGACTGCAAGAGGGCACAGGCCAGACTGAGGGACACCCCCCCTCCCCGCCAAGTGCACTAATTTTTGTGCACCATGCCTCTAGTGAAGATGTAAGAGAAACAAGTATGGATGAGCAAGGAAGTGAGGGAGGCACCCAGTCCTCGCAGGGACCATGAGGCTCAGGAGTCCATGGGCAAATGGTTCAGTAGAGATCGGTCAGGATGTTGACGTCCTCTTCCAGTCCTGTTAATGACACGTTTGACCTTGAAAGAGAGGCTGGGACATAGGAGGTCATGGTTTCCTTCAGAGATGCGTTCTGCCTTTATTTCTATGCAAAGCCTCATTTTTATTTGAAGTATCGGAAGCCGTCTGCAAGGATGATTCTCCAAGACGCAGGCCCCTGCGTGTGCTGTGAGAGCATCCTGTGACTTAGCTGTTCTCTGTGTCCCACCTTGTGTGTAACTGTGGCTTTGAGCCTCTGCTTTCTCAGGAAGGAGAGGCAGGCTGCCTGGCCCAGAATTCAGATGTGCATCAAAATTGTTCTCTTGACGAGTGCACAAAAACCCAATTAGTCACCCACGGACAGGCTGTCTCTGGGGATCCAGCAGCCTAACTTTCAGGGCACCTCTGCGAGAAAATAGCTCAGGATTTTTGAACAGCCCACATTCCAGACCATGTGGAATGAGGGCTCATGTAGATAAATCCCGTAGGCTTTTCTGGTTGATACTGTTCTGAGGTGCCAGGCGTTCCTAAGAGGAGATTATCAGGCAGTCTCTGGGAGTGAGAGTCATTGAGCACTGTGACCTCCAGTAACACCGGCTCCTTTCCATGTGTCATCACAGGAGTTTGCCAGCTCGTGAACAAGATGGAGGAGAACACCGGCAAGGTGAAGCCATTCAACCGGAACGACGAGCAGTTCCTGGAAGCTTTCGTGATCTTCTGTGGCCTGGGGATCCAGAACACGCAGATGTATGAGGCGGTGGAGAGGGCCATGGCCAAGCAGATGGTCACGTTGGAGGTGAGCACAGCTGGGGGACCTCTTGGCATCCATACTTGTCATAGGTCACGTGACCAAACCACAACTCAGGCCCACGGCTTGCTCAGACCATCTGCTTTATTATGGAAAGCAGCGCGTGACCCAGGCCATCCACTCCCATGGGCGGAACTGCCACGGCAGTCACCGGCCCATCTCACCTTGCCAACAGCTCTAGTCACAGTTTCAAAAACAAAGACAGACCTAGCTGGTTCAGCTGAGTGGATAGAGTGTCGGCCTGTGACTGCAGGGTTCTGGGTTTGATTTCAATCAAGGTTAAGTACCTCGTTGTTGCAGGCTCGAGCGCTGGTCCTGGTCAGGGTGTGTTAGGAGGTAGCCCGTTGATGTGTCTCTCATCTCACATCGATGTTTCTCTCTCTGTCTCTCCCCCTTCCACTCTCTCTAAAAAAAAAAATCAGTGGAAAAATATCCTTGTGTGAGGATTAACAACAGAAACAAAACAAAAGACAAAGACAGAAATCCTAAGTGCTCTTAGAGAAGCAGAAATAAGGAAAAGAAAAGATGCATCTGGCACAGTTCAAACTCTTACACTGGCCACTTCACCATCATCAGAAACTCCGTTTAGAGATTTATGGCCGACTCCTGAGTGTGAGTCTTGGGTGAAGGCTGGGGATCTGCATGTTCTTGAGCGTCTGCGAGGATCCTGGACACGCAGGGGCCCTGTGAATGCTGGCTGGGGGCTGACTCGGGCAGGTCCCTCCCTGGTGGGGCAGCCCCTTCCAGGGGGACCTCACCAACATCCATGAAAACATGCACTTCATGTAACATGACATGTCTTCCCCTGGGCCAGTCTAGCGAAGCAGATGTCAGAGGGTGCAACATGTCTGCCCATCACTCAGTGTTGGTGTAAAATACATGCTTCTCTTATCCAGTTGCCATGAGCTGGAATCCGTGGTGGGATGTAACCTTCCCTCCATCCCTAATAAATAAACACCCAACTAAAGAGCTAGAAAGTTATGCGATACTAGAGGCCCAGTGCACAAAATTTGTGCACAGGGATGGGGGGCGGGTCTCTCAGCCCAACCTGCACCCTCTCGAAATCTGAGACCCCTTGGGGGATGTCTGAATGCCAGTTTAGGCCCCTCTCATAATCCGGGACTGCTGGCTCCTAACTGCTCGCCTGCCTGCCTGCCTGCCTGATTGCCCCTAACCATTCTGCCTGCCTGCCTGCCTACCTGATCACCCCTAACTACTCGACTGCCTGCCTGATCGCCCCTAACCACCACTGCCTTGGCCCCCTCTGCCGCGGCTTCATCTGGAAGGACATCTGGAGTGATGTCTGCAAGGTCGTTCGGCTGTCCGGTCTAATTAGCATGTTACACTTATATTATTATAGATATGTTGAGATTCATCAGTAACCCATCTGGTTCTCCACTCCCTAAAATGGATATGTAACACTTTGCGAGAGAATCATTTCAGATGAGATCTCAGACCATAACCAGGGGAAGCCCCACTTGCAAATACGCACACACACACACACCCAAATGACACACATGCACGTGTCACACACACACGTGTACCTGTCACTCAAAGGTCTGAAAATGGGTACCTTTTAACAATGATCGTAAAACTTTTGGGGATTTTTTAAAATAAATCTTGTATTATCTCTGTCAAAAGTGAACTTTCAAAAATGTTTTAAAAGTATGATAGACATTTTAAATCCAACCACCACCCTGGTTAAAACGGTGTCTGAAATATTGTCGCATTGCTAAAGGGTCTCACTTTTGAAAATGGGCATTGCTGCTCCTCAGGTTCAGTTATAAGACATGGTGAGCCTGACTTCCTAGCCCTCTGGGGCACTGGGAAGTTCTAGAGCCAGAACTGTGAGATGTGGAAGCTGGTACCCAGGCTCCTCCTCTCCCTGGGTGAGCCCGCAGCCAAGTTAGGAGAGTCCCCGCTCCTGGGTGGCCGCAGCCGTCAGCGGGCGGGTCCCTCGGCCACACTGCTCAGCTCTGGGTGCCCCTCGGCCCTGGGTCTGCAGCATCCCTATCCCAGCCACGCCGTCTTCTTTGTGGATTTTGAAGCACACAGGCCTCCCCTGAGCCACTTCCAGGCGGCTGGCTTTAAAACGTCAGTTTTCACAAAGATTGCTTCCCTAATTCTGCCCACAAGCACAAATAACTAAAGTCGGGATTTTAAACACACACACACACACACACACACACACACCCATACACACACACACAATTAAAAAGAAATTGTCTGCCAAATTTGAGCCAATAGTGTGGTTGTAAATCATGTGTTTGTTATACCAACAATGTCAAACTGAAGTGAGCCCTTTTCTTTGAACATGGGGGTTGGGGGGGCATCTGACTTAGTTTTCTGGAACAATTGAATTGAAATCTGGGGTTTTTCTCTCTGTTGAAGGAAACAAACAAAACAAGGCTTGTGAGTCTGAGGGGTCTAGTTCTCTTTCTGGGAGGTGTTAGCGGGACCCCAGGCTGAAATCTCTGCCCCCGTCGTGTAACCTGTCCCTGCTTCCCCGCAGGTCCTGTCCTATCACGCCTCGGCCGCAGAGGAGGAGACCCGGGAGCTGCAGGCCTTAGCGGTAATGACGGCGGCACAGCGCGGTCATCCACACACACGCCTTTCCCAGGGGATCTGCTCCCACCAGTAACGGTGGGAGACATTAGGCCAATGTGGCGGATAGTTAGAGGGACGCTCACAAATATGCAATCAATCCATTTCCTGCAGGGCTGCAGTCACCGGTGATGCAAAGCAAAGAGAGTAACTCCAGTGGACCTTGTCCTCCATGCGATGATTCTGGGTTTTTCTAATAATTGTTCTCATCTTTACATCTAGCTGAGGCCAACGTTAAACTCAGTTTCAGTTCCTGAGAGAAGGGGCCGGGCAACTGCAAAGTGGTTGTCCGGTTGGGGTCGTGGTGACGAGGTGTCGTGGTTTGTTACTGAGTCCCTGCCCCGTGTTCTTGAGGAGCAAGCGATTTGCATTCCGACCACATGGCTGGAGCTGTTTGAATTGGGCTCCTGTGCCTGACTTCTCCTTGCCTCCCTCCAGTGAGCGGGGAGAGAGCGCCTGGGCTGGGGCTGGGATGCCGTGCGTTCTGGGTTCTGACGGGGATGGTCTTGGTTGAGGTCCATGCAGGTCTGAGGCATTTACACCTTGGCAGCCATGCTGGCCTCCTGAGTTTAAATTTGGGACCTCAGGGATCCGGTCGGTGTGAGATGTGACGAGGGTCAGGTAAGGAATGAGAAGGGCGTGGCCAGTCACCCAGGTTCTCTGTTGAGGTCATCAGCATCTCAACTGCCAAACCCCAGCCCTCTGAGCGGTCCCTGCATTTTCCCTGTGACTGTACAGCTGTGCCACGGAGGCCTCGCTGAACCTAGAGAGGCCGTGGCTGGTCAGGGTCTCCGTGGCTGGCTCCTGGCTGGCTCAGGGTAGCCTTGGCTGGTCAGGGTTACTGTGGCTGGTCAGGGTCACCGTGGCTGGTCAGAGCCACCATGGCTGGCTCAGGGTCACTGTGGCTGGTCAGGGTCACTGTGGCTGGTCAGGTTCACCGTGGCTGGTCAGGGTCACTGTGGCTGGTCAGGGTCTCTGTGGCTGGTCAGGGTCACTGTGACAGGAAGGGGAGCCAGGACACACAGTTCACCCCCAGGGCCGTGCACAGTCCATGGCGCTACCTGTGAGGCAGAGAGAAGGCGGGTGAGCCTGACGAAAAGGATGGCGCCTGAATAACCAAGTGGGGATGGGAAGGAGGTGGGCCAGCCGATGTGCTTTAGAACGTGGGACGGTGAGGCTGCGGGACCCCCGATGGATATGGACATTCAGGAATGACCAGCTGGAGGGTGAGGGCTGGGGCTCACATGGAGGGTGAGGACTGGGGCTCCCACGGAGGCGGTGGTCTGGGGGTGGCCCTGGATTCACAGCGTCCATGGCGTGGTTTCCCGTGCGGGGCGGAGGGAGAGCAGGTTTCCCCCTGCGGGGCGGTAAGAGAGCAGGCCAGGAGGGAAGGCGAGGGCAGGACCCTCGGGAACATAGGTTCACATGGACGGGGCAGGAGGAGAAAGCGCTGGGCCGGACAAACGTGGCCGCTGAGCAGGGAGGCCAAAGGAGGAGCAGCAGAAGGCAACGCACACGCAGGTTCCGAGGTGCAGGGCCAGGGGGTCTGCGCGGACCAGAGGGGTGTGGGGCCCGCGATGAGCAGCTGCAAGGAGGCAGCCGGGGGATACAGCGCAGGCGAGGGGACAAGATGAGGAAACAGATACAGACGGTTGTTAAAGACAAGTTTTGTGTGAAAGAGGGTGGAGGATTCGAGATGAGGGTGTTGCTGAATGGTGAGGTTTTATGGTTCGGTTCGGTTCTGTTCTGTTCTGTTCAGTTTGGGCTTTTGAGCAGGGATAGCTCCCAAGCTTGAGGTCGGCATGTTCTTGGACAAAGAGGGAAGGAGAGGTGGGCGAGGCCCACAGTGCTGAACAGGGCGCCATCCAGGCCTGGGCGGGGTTGGGCGTTAGAGAGAGCCACCCCTCTGCCCCGCCAGGGGAAGGGGTGGTAAGAACAAAAGCCACATTTAGGGAGCGCTTACCACCGGCGTGGCATGTGTGAAGTTCGTGTGTGTTAACTGAGTGTATTTAATCCACAACAATTCCACATGCCGCTATTATTAGCATTTTTCAGGCAACTCGAGGTTGAGCATTTAGGGTGTCCTACACAGGTCGCCCAGGTTGGCAGAGATGTGCCCGTGTATGCCCAAGCAGTCCAGGCCAGAGCCCTCGCTGCCCTGCCCACAGGCAGAGAGTATGAGCTGGGGAGGCAGGGGGAAGGCAGGGCTGGATCTCAATTAAGTCGTCGAGGGGCAAGGGGCGAGCTGAGCCATCTGCCAAGGAGCGTCAGGGACTTGGGATAATTTTCCCAAAAGGCTGGGTTCCCCTGGGGTCAGCTCATTCGGAATCGGCTGTACTTATTTTGCTTTCAATGGTATTTGAAGAAATGAGCTTTCCCCCCAATATTGACAAAGGGTTATAGATTTAAAGACTCCTTCACCTCAGACTCAATTGGCCCATTTGTCTAACCTCCCAGAATGCTGGCATTTGGGGCTGACCGCCTGCTGTGGGCTGGAAATGATCACAGGAGAGGCACATTTTCAGTGTGGGCGCTGGGGGGTCACTCAGGTCAAGCTTACACTCCGCCCTGAGTTGTTTCAGTGGTTCTCAACTTTCTGGCCCTTTAAATACAGTTCCTCATGTTGTGACCCAACCATAAAATTATTTTCGTTGCTACTTCGTAACTGTAATGTTGCTACTGTTATGAATCCTAATGTAAATATCTGATATGCAGGATGGTCTTAGGCGACTCCTGTGAAAGGGTCGTTCGACCGCCAAAGGGGTCGTGACCCACAGGTTGAGAACCGCTGTTATAGATAAATACAAACTAGCGTACAGAGCAATTCCCAAAGATCCTGGTAAAAAACCACCAGGCTAGTAAACTTGCTTTTCACTTTGAAAATAGCAATAGTCTTCCAGAAAAATCTGAAAATTATTTTCTCAATTATGTTCATAATTTTAGCAAGAGAAAAAGAGCAACTGAATAGGGCAGTATTGTTCAAAACCATCTGTTTTCTATTCAGAACATAGATTTCTGGCAGCTGCGTTCAGACATTCAGGCTTACAAAGCTGGGAGGTCAAAGGACTCGTTTAAATCGGTTGAAATGCAGTGTCTGATTGCAATTCTGGTTTTCTCTCAGCCTCATAAAGATTCCTGTACAGCCCCAGCCACACAGGTGTCCGTCCTCCAGAAATGACAAAATCGCTGGCTTCATCATGTGTCTGACTGTTTATCCCAACTTAAACCTAAAATACGTGGAAAAGCTGTCACATGTTTTAACTTTTATTTTAAAAAATTAGTTCTGAAGAGAATGAAATAGTGCACTAAACATTTACGCCTGTGCCCAGAAAAGCTCACTAGTTATACAGAATAATTTTGTTGGTAGGAAATTCAGCATCCTATTTTCTCCCCCTGCTTTCCCTGAGGTTTATTATTGTTATTATTATTGAGTTTATTGAGTTTGCTGTTGTTAATCTAATCATTGCTTGGCTTAGAATTGGGTGTAGCACAAGTAGAGCCTTAAGCAAAGCATTTTGCTGTGGATGTTTTAATAGCCTTTGGTCACCAGTTACTGAGATGAAAATGAAAGGAGCCCAGTTGGCCTGGGTCTGGCTATTAGACAGTTATCGGGACGCACTTTGTTCACTCATTATAGCAGTGGTTCTCAACCTTGGCTGCACATTAGAATCCCCTGGGAATCTTTTTAAAATCCTGATTTCTGGGCCTCATCCTCTGGAAATTCTGTTTCTTTGTTATGGGGTGGGGCCACAACATTAGTAACAAAGAAACAGAATTTCTGGAGGATGAGGCCCAGAAATCAGGATTTTAAAAAGATTCTTAGGTGATTCTAATGTGCAGCCAAGGTTGAGAACCACTGCATTATAGATACCTGGATGTTCCATAGCCTGGCTGGCTGCCTCTTCCAGGCATGTCCTGGAGTTCATTGTGTAAACCAAGCCCCGGGTTTCGTCATGGAGCCAGGGCCAATTCGGTTCCTGCTGTGACTTCTGTCATCTCGGGAATGTCTCTAAAAGCAAGTCGAGACGCTGCTGTGAAAGGTCTTCTGTGTCAAAACAGCCAGAGAAGGAGCAGCTGGCTGCTTAGGCAGGTTCCCTCGTTGGACCAGCGTTCAGAGCCAGCCCTGGGCGGGGACCCCTCCACCAGGCGGGGACCCCTCCATCGGGCGAGATCCTCTCCATCGGGCGGGATCTTCTCCCATCAGGCGGGGACCCCTCCCTCAGGCACAGTGCGAGATGTGATCGCTGCCGGAGACAGCAGTGAGGGGAAGACCACCACCCCTGATGCCTCGGTCAGTGTTAGGGTGCGACCCAGCACCTCCTGTCAGATGATCACATTCCCTCCCTCTTTGGGCAAATCTCTATCGATAACCATTTCATTAATGGAAAAATTTGAGCAGTGTCACTGAGCTCTTGTAACCCATGGCAACTGAGAAGATACCTCTTCCTCACACGGTGCTAGGGACGCGCTCGGGACAGTGTGGGCCCTTCAGACCACCGAGATGTCATCTTTACAGACGTGCAGGGAGTGACCGGCTCCATCCAGTTCACCTGGATAAGACATCGGATTCTGATTCTTCCTCTTTCACCCAATAAGCTAATCCTACCTGTTTTGCTTTGATATTGCTAGTGGATTATTGCTACTGCTATTCTTTTTAAAAAATATATATTTTTATTGATTTCAGAGAGAGAGATAGAAACAACAATGATGAGAGAGAATCATTGATCGGCTGCCTCCTGCACACCTCCCACTGGGGATCGAGCCTACAACCGGGCATGTGCCCTTGACCGGAAACAAACCGGGGTCCCTTCAGTCCACAGGCTTGCTCTATCCACTGAGCAACACCAACCAGGGCTCTACTGCTGTCCTTAGCTCCGAAATATCACAGCTCTGTTCTGGAAATTTTTACGCACTTAGGTGTCACCCAGTTCCGTGGGTCCTCGTCCCAGTTGTAGTCAAGTTCCCTCTAAAGTTTTACTTACAAGTGTATACATATTTCATCCTGTCCTTGCCATTATTTCATGCCTTCTTTATATGGTTTTGAAAAACTGTGCACTCACGATCCAACCTTTGTAGTCTCTGCCTCTGCCTGGTTGAGACTTACAGGAGTCCACGTATATGATGTTAGAAGGAAGGGAACCTCCTAAAGCCTGTTGCTGTAGTTATTGAGGGAAATACACGAACCCTGTTGAGCTCCATTCTCTGCTCTCTGCATGGCTGGGCTCCATGTGGAGCCAATATACAGTGGCTTCTTCTCTCATTCGTGCATAGACTCACTTCATAAGTGCTAATGGCCTTGTAAATGAATCGTATACGTTTTTTCTTTAAAAGCATGTGTCCTGTGCCTGTTGAGTGGGGAGGGGAGCCGTCAGCCTCCTGGGAAGTGCGATGCGGTGGCTGCCAGGCGGGCAGCTTCAGGGCTTCAATGCGGGCACAGGCCTCAGCTGGGCCACCTCCAGGCGCCTGGCTTCCCAAATGCCAACGTGAACATGGCCGTTGACGCGAAGGTAGTTTTCCTAACTGTGCACAGGAGCACGAACGACTGAAGGCAGTTGTTTAAAAACACGACTGACATTAAACTCTTGGCCAAGTTTGAGCCACTGGTGTAGCTTTAAATGATGTGTTTGTTATATCGGCTTCAGACTAAAGTGAGCTGCTTTCCAGAACATAAGAGTGGAACTACATTCGTACTGATCACTGATGTACCTCAGCAGATTGTCTGAGGTCGAAGCCTGCGGAGGGGCGGGCCCAGCTGGGTGGCAGGAGGCGGCAGCGGCCCAGTTTGGGTTGGCTTATTCGGTGATTGGACGTGTACACATCTGTCACACCTAGTGCTTTACAGAACCTCTAAAATGGGCGCTTTCTGTCCATCTCCAGCACCACAGGGCGGTCAGGTGCATTAGCCCCTGAAGGAAACCAAGTCGGACTCTCACTCGGCAGACTGACCACCAGGCAGCCCTATAGGTCACATGGGGATGCAGACTGTGTGCGCAGCGAGAGCTGCCCCTGAAAGGGCACCCACCGCCCTCCCTGCTCGTGGTAAAATGCTGAGTTCTGTTTCATAAAATGGAGTTAAAATCGCCTTTCCAAGCCCGTTGGGGCGGACAGGAAGTCGGGTCCCTGGGGATGGTCCGCGAGCTGTAAATGACAGGGACTTTCTCATGGCTGGTCAGTCCTGGATCCCAAGAGTCCCGAGCCCCCGCGTCACTGACCACCACACCACACGGCTCTGGACAGACGTGGCCGCCTGTCCCCGGAGGTCAGCTCAGGAAGCTGGCCGTGGTGGGCTGACCCCTGGCCCGGCGGGCAGCAGGGAGAGGCTGGCTCTGGGAGAGCGAGGCCGAGCGAGTGTCCGTGGGGAGAGGCCCGGCTGTGTTGGCCTCTTTTCCTGTAGCCTTAGAGCGTCCTCGTGGAAGGAACGAAAGACACTTCCGGCTGCATGAACAGTGATGCCCTGGGGGACAGTCCTCCGGCCGTGCAGTGTGTGTGTGGGGGGGGGGGCGGGTGGGCGGGGATTGCTCTAGCTGTGAGTTAAGGGGGCTGTTCCCACCCCTCACTCCCAGCTGCACTGACAGGGGCTGCTGGAAGCACAAGGCCTTTAGGTAACACCCAACTCCTCCCCGTGCAGCCACGCCGGTCCCAGCCCGGGGCTCACGGAGCAGCTGCGTGCTTTCTTGTGGAGTTTGGGCTGGGAGAGTGTGCGTGCAGGGGGAGCGGGTGGCCTGCGTATAAAGTGTAAACACGTCTGGTGAGCTTAAGTCCGATGTGAAGGTCTCGGGGAGTGGGAGGAGGCGAGGTGCCCTCTCTGGGAGGGAAAGCTCTGGATTGGCCGTGGGATTTTATTATGTCACCTCTTTGCTTCACAAAAGATGGAAGTGGAGCGGAGTAGTGACATCCAGCTATTCACAGGGAACCTCGGGGGTTGGGGGAAGTCAGGGGAATGCCTTAAGGGGGGGACCCTGCTTACCTGTGCCCTCTCCACGCTGAGCCCCATCAGCTAAGGTGCGGGAGGGGTGGCCGGTGCGGAGAGGGGGGCATGGGGACTCCTGCCAGTGCCGATCCTGGGCCCCGGCCCTGCAGGAAATCTAGGGGAGACCCCGCAGCTCAGCTCTGCAGGTGCCTGCCTGCCAAGGCCTTGGCCTCTGTTGCTTCCTGGGAGTTGAGCTCTGTGTGGCCTTTCTCAGGAGAAACCGGAAATCCTTTATTTTTGCTTAATCTCCCCCAATTCAAATACCATAACCAGTTTGGTGATTTTTATTAACATCCCATCTCAGACTAGAGAGGTCAGCAGGCAGCTGTGGGGGCTGCTGGTCTCCCACCCACTGGAGGGCATCTCCGCTGAGCTTGGGGTCCTTTACACCGGAGCTGACGGCTCAGACCAAGTGAGGGAATGGGGTTCCTTGCGTTCATTCCATAGCCGTCCCTGGTGAGCAGTCACAGCCGCAGCCACAGTGGAAACGCAGGTCCCCGTGTGGCCGGGCAACACAGGAAACCACGTGGCCGTGAACTTCGCGGAGGGAACGGGCATTCCCAGCTGGGTCAACTCTGCGGCATTTGACCTTTGACCTTTCTGTGGGTGGGAGCTCAGCACCTGGAGAGAGAAGCGGGGGTAGAAGGGAACATGGATGAGATCGAGGGAAAGGAGCCAGGCGCATCGGATGAAGCTGCTGCATGAAGCGCAGTGAAATGAGCGTCGGAGCAACACCAAGGGTGGCAGTCAGAGCGCAGGTCCCCCAGGGACCAAAACCGGCTTCTCAGGCCGGCCTAGACCTGAGCCGGGCGCCTGTCTCCCGAGCACACCCAGGGCTGGGCATTGGGGCGCCTGCTCGGCTCCAGGGGGGGGAGGCTAACCTAGTCTGGGCTTTAGTGTCTGCACCTGAGGGAGGGTGTCTGGGCTTCAGTGTCTGCACCTGAGGGAGGGTGTCTGGGAATGAAACGTGAAGCGCTCAGAGCATCATCACTGCTGCTGCCCCTCAATCCTCGCCCACGGCCCTGGCATGGCCCAGGACAGCCACTAGAGTTGTCAATGGCACAGGCCAGGCAGCTTACAGGGCACCTCCGGAGGCCTGCGTCCTGTTCTGGGCTCAACCTCCGGGCAGCAGCCTCGCTGCCTCCGCCTGCCTCCTAGATGAGGGTCTCCCATGTGTCCCATTCCCAAGGGGAAGCAGGCGCACTGTTCCCCGCCGTGAAGCCGACGACTGTGAGCCGGGCTTCACTCGTGTCCCCTCCCCCAGGCGGCCGTGGTGCCCTCTGCCCAGACCCTGCGGATCACCGACTTCGGCTTCAGCGACTTCGAGCTGTCGGACCTGGAAACTGCGCTGTGCACCATCCGGATGTTCACCGACCTCAACCTGGTGCAGAACTTCCAGATGAAGCATGAGGTGAGGCACACGTGTGTGTGTGTGTGTGTGTGCAAGCATGTGCATGTGTGTACGTGTATGAGCATGTGTGTATGTGTGCATGCGTGTGCACCATCCAGATGTTCACTGACCTCAACCTGGTGCAGAACTTCCAAATGAAGCATGAGGTGGGGGCGCATATGTGTATGTGCGTGTGTGTGAGCCCGTGTGCATGTGTGTGGGTTAGTGTGTGTGAACACGTGTGTATGCATGTATGGAAGAGAGAATTGGCTTTGGATGCTGGTGTGAAATGCAGATTTTAAGTTTCAGCGACTGATCTGTCACTAATGCCTATCAGAGAATTTTAAAGGAAACGACCAGCCACCGTGAAGGCATTTATGGGGTTCCCACCAGGTATCCAGCCCCCGCTGTCAACTGGGGGGTTTCCCACCCTGGGAGAGGATGTGCAGAGGCGGGTGGGCAGGAGGTGGGGGGCTGTGGAAAGCGCTGTGCAGGGGTGAGGCTGCAGGCAAGCACAGGAGGGGAAGGAGGAAGCCCATCGTATAGACCCCTGTACGCTGCTCAGAGGAATCAGGATTTTGTCCAGAAAACAGTGGTGTCACCAGGAGTTTGAAGGGGGGGTGACATGTCAGATGGCATAGGTCACAACCTCTCAGGGAAGGGTCAGGACTGAGAGGGCTCCTGGGGAAAAGGGGGTACAGGGCCAATGACAGGCCAGCTCTGGGCACCCCCGGGCCACCGTCTGGGGAGAAGATGAACACAGGATTTTACCGCGTTGACATCGTTCGCCTCCTGGGAAACAGCAGGACTGCACGTGTCCCTCCCCACCGTCCCTGGAGAAGGAGCATCAGCGACACACAGGAGGGAGGAGGGAGAAGACCTCAGAGAACTAAGTCCAGTCATTTGCCTTCAAGGCATTTTCTCTGCTCGGTCGGATGTCTGCTGACCTTGCACAGGTCTCCTCCCCGGGAACGTAAGGACCTCTGAGGCCTCGCTGTTCAGCCGACGGTTAATCAGGAAATGCGGTTGATACCGGGACAGTGTGCCTGGCACTGGGCTGGGGCCCGGTCCACATGGGGTCCTCGCTCAGACGCCTCACCCCGGACGGACACCCGGCTGATGCAGGGGAGGGCGGGACACACGTCCCTCACCGCGTTACGGGGGCTCAACCTCGTTCTCCCCTCAGTGTCCCCGAAGCTGCTGTCACCCTCACATCAAACGACTATTGGCTGGGTTTCTGCATTTTCCCGGCTTCTGCGGTCAATCCCAGCAATTGCCATAACCCCTCCCTGTAGAGCTTGGAAGCTCATAGCTGTTACATAGCCTCCCAACAGGACGAAGCTGCCACCTCCTGGCCACTCTGTCGGAGGTGCCGGTTAACACCCGATCCTCTGCCACGTGCGGTGCCTGGGAGGGAGGGGAGGGGCACTTGGTTCCCTGGGGCCTGCGGAGAACAGGGCGGGCAAGTAACCACAGACCCTCCACCCACCCTCTCCCAGTGGTTCCACCGATGAGAAAACTGTGGTTTGGACCTGCATCTGCAGCATTCTTTCTGGAAACCTCCTCTTCTCAGGCAGTGCTCTGTGGCAGAAGCGCCTCCAGCCATGTGTGCGGGGAGAGACATGCATCTTTGTTCCTTGTCCAGGCTCCCAAGAGCACAGGGAACCACTCAGGAGTGAACAGCGGCGACTGGATGCTGACGCAGTCACCGTCCCCGCGGGGGACCTGAGCCCGGGGGATCCTTGCATACACACCACTGAGAAGCTGAGTGGAACCCAGCTGTGACGTGTTGCTCAGCCGTCTCTCCTTTTTTCGCTCCATCTTTAAAATGCTTTTTTTCATATGGACCTCGGCATATGTTATTTTTTTAATTGCTTCTCGGTAACCACGCAGTGCCTCTGTCTGAATGCCCAAGCTGGTGCAAAAGGGACAAAGAGCTCAGGACGCATCGGGACAGGCGCTGGAGCGGGACATGTGCCCCCTCCCTGTCCCATCAGCCCAAGCCTCACACTGAAGCCATCACAGCAGACGGCAGGTGCCTGGGGAAGACTCGACAGTGGCTGCTTGCGTGGCTGTCCGACCGGGAACTCACATGTGCGGGACTCTCCTAATTGGTGACTCGTGGACCTGGTGTCTTTCACAAAGCTAGTCGGTACCCTCCAGGCCCCCAGGCCTCCCATACAGTTGCCTTGCATTTTGCACTACTTTAGTGGGTTGGTTAGCAGGGTGGGCTCTGCCGTCGGATGCTCAGGTATGAACTCTGGCCCCTTCCTTAGGAGCCACATGACCTGGTCACATGGAGCCACATGTGTGTGTCAGTGTCCTGATCTGTTAAGTGATTACATCCTAGCCCCCCCCCCCCCAATCCCTGGAACCGGGGATTGGGTGTGCTGTGCACATCGCCCGGGTCGCAGTGAGCATGTGACCAACTTCCGCAGTCGCTGTGACATGTCTGCTTTCCGCCCGCAGGTCCTCTGCCGGTGGATCCTGAGTGTGAAGAAGAATTACCGGAAGAACGTGGCCTACCACAACTGGAGACACGCCTTCAACACGGCGCAGTGCATGTTCGCCGCCCTGAAGGCAGGCAAGATCCAGGTACAAATTCTACTATGGAGCTGTTTGTTTAAGACATTCGTGGTAAAATTTACAGCACATGCTTTCAAGTACTTTTTTAAAATCTGCGTTAGTGGTGATTGAGGGTACTGCCTGTTGCCAGTTACAAAATAAATTGTATTTTAAGGAAAGAAGTCTAGTGTGGCAAAGTACGTGGTTGATAACGTCCTCTCCTATGGAATGTATACGGCATGTTAGCATAACCTTTAAGTAGCTTTACGCTAAAGTCAAATGGCCCTTGGGAAGGTCAGTATGTCCTTCAGAGGGAAACTACAGCAGCATCCGTCTGCTCCACACCACGCAGGTCCTGAGCGTGGCTCCCTAGATGTGCCCACGGCCCTGTCGTGGGTTCTCTTCACCCCATTAACCTTACCAGTGCGTGGACCACACCCTGTTCACAGGACATCAACGCAGACCACGTTCCAGCACCTAGGTCCTTGCCAGGCCTTTTTATGCTTAGCTCTGTCCTTAGATTCCACCATCAGCGGGCACCGACTCGTTATTCTAGGTGAGTGAGTCCAGGCCCCATCACAGAGCTCTTCAGTCCAGAGCTCCCATGCTTTCCTGTGAGTGTCTTTTGTTGTTGTTGGTAATCCTCACCAAAGGACGTTTTGATTTTGATTTTTTTGATTTTTATTTTTTAAAAATATTTTATTGATTTTTTTACAGAGAGGAAGGGAGAGGGATAGAGAGTTAGAAACATCGATGAGAGAGAAACATCGATCAGCTGCCCTCTGCACACCCCCAACTGGGGATTTGCCCGCAACCAAGGTACATGCCCTTGATTGGAATCGAACCTGGGACCTTTCAGTCTGCAGGCCGACGCTCTATCCACTGAGCCAAACCAGTTAGGGCAACGTTTTGATTTTTAGAGAGAGTGGAAGGGAGGGGAAGAGAGAGAGAGAAACAGACACATTGATAGGTTGCCTCCTGCACTCATCCAGACCGGGGCCAGGGATTGAACCTATAACCCAGGTAGGTGCCCTTGACCACGAATCGAACCCAAAACCCTTTGGTGTGAAGGCCGGCCCTATGCCGGCCAGGAGCTTCCACGCTTTGTTATTGAATTCTAGGACTGCTGTTCTTCTTGGCTCCCATAGGGGGCGCATTTGAACACAGAACCAAGGGCAGGGCTTGTCTGGGAGCCTCCTTCCAGAGTCCCGCTCTCCCGCAGGGGCAACGCCCAGGGGAAGCAGGCTCCACTCCTGTTTAGGAGGAACTGGGAACGTCAGGAGGGTTAAACCACCCAATGCTATCCGGGCTCTGGCAAAGAAAAACAAAATGCTGATGTGTGTGCTGTGAATATGCCACTTCGAGTGCTGAGAATTCCGGCAGAATAGAGCCAATAGGAATTTCAGCTTGTGTTTTCTTATGAAGAAGAACAGTAGTACAGAGAATACAAATGGCAGCCACTCAAAAATAATCTGGATTCACTTTGCAATACATCATGTAACTTTTTTCAAAATATATATATATTTTTTATTGATTCCAGAGAGAGGAAAGGAGAGGGAGAGGGACAAACATCAGTGATGACAGAGAATCATTGATGAGCTGCCTCCTGAATGCCTCCTAACGGATCAAGCCCTCAACCTGGGCATGTGCCCTGCACCAGGAATCAACCCCCGAATCATGGTTCATGGGTCGATGCTCAACCGCTGAGTCACACCAGCCAGGCTATTATGTAACTTTTTAAAGCCAACTTTTCATCCTTAATCCCCTTTTGTGTATTCTTTTGCCAAATATACTCATTGTCTGGTGCCTTTAGGCACAGCCCCTGAGGGCAGAGCATGGAAGCCATGGAATCTGTAGGAGTTAAAGGTTAAGAGAAGCCAGCGATTCAAAGTTCATGTGCTTATCCCACATGCATATGTAGACCATTAGGAAGGAGTGGCATTGACTGTGGGGGACAGGTGGTTGGTGAGGCATTTCCGCCCTCTCCTAGGGTCAGTGACATTGGCGATAGCCCCGCTCTGAGGGCAAGGTGCAGCTCTTCCCCTGTGGAGCGGGCCTGCTGCTACCTTGAAGCAGGCCTATGTGAAGTTCTGAGATTCACAGAGATGGCCTAGCACCCTTACAGGTCCTTCTCTCTCTCCTCCCCACGCCCGCCGTGTAGAGCAAGCTGTCGGACCTGGAGGTGCTGGCCCTGCTGGTCGCCGCCCTGAGCCACGACCTGGACCACCGAGGCGTGAACAACTCCTACATTCAGCGGTGAGGTGGTCACCCTGCCAGACAGCAGCCGATCCTTTTCAACTGTGAGGTTGTCCTTATTAAAGCAAAACCCACGGCAGAATTGCATTGGTCAAGGTCCAAAAGATCAACTGGTTAAGGTCCCATAACATACTCTGGTTTTATTTAAATACTAGAGGCCTCGTGTATGAAATTTATGCACGGGGTGGGGGGAGGAAAAGGGGGGTCCCTCAGCCCGGCCTGCATCCTCTTATAATCTGGGACCCCTCGGGGGATATTGGGCCTAAACCGGCAGTCAGACATCCCTCTCGCAATCTGGGATGCTGCATGCACCAGTTACCATACTTTTCATACAGGTGAATCTTGCTGTTGTCTGGGCAGCTGCATTTTTTTGCCCTGATTATAAAAAGTAGTACAGAACATGATCCTTCTGAGGCAGTAGTACCATCTTCCCCATCTTATGGGTGGAAAAACTGAAACAGAGAGAAGTTAAGTAATTGGCTTTGTCACCCAGTTATAAGTGTCAGAATCAGGGCTGACCACAAAATGTACAAGCCAGAGTCCAGGCATGTCATCGCTGCATCAGCCTGTTTTTTTCAGTGTTAGAGTAGCCTTGCCAGGTTTTCATTTTTAAATCTAGGAGACTGTTCCCAATATATAGGGTAGGGTTCCTATGCCTGACCGGTGATCAGGGCCATATGTGGAGTGACCAGTGGGCGGGGCGATAGGGGGGCCCCCGCTGGCACACGCATTGACTGGTAGCCTGGTGCAACCCGCTGGCCAGCCCCTCCCCCCAATCGTCGCCACTAGTCACCTCCCTCTCCAGGGGCGGACGCTCAACGCAGGAGCTACCCCCAGTTAGCCTGGGTTGGGGCAGCAGCTCTTGCATTGAGCGTCTGCTCTCTGGTGGTTAGTGCATGTCATAGCAACCAGTCGTTCCTCCGTTCAGTCGATTTGCATATTAGGGTTTTATTATATAGGATATTTTTATTGATTTCAAAGAGGAAGGGAGAGGGAGAGAGAGATAGAAACATCAATGATGAGAGAGAATCATGGATTGGCTGCCTCCTGCACACCCAACACTGGGGATCGAGCCCTCAACCTGGGCATGTGTTCTGACCGGAAATCAAACCCTGACCTCCTGGTTTATAGGTCAACACTCAACTACTGAGCCACACCAGCAGGGCTAGTTTTATTTAAGGGAAATGGGAGAAAAATGAAAGTCCAGTACTGTGTTGGTAACATTTCTGGCCTCAAGTGGAAAAATATTTATGTGAGAATCTTATTTCATGAGATAATTACCAAGAGTTTTGTTTCAGGTTGAATTAGGGCTTCATAGCAAACTTTAAAGACTAGTTCAGAGAAGGTAAGATTACACCCTAATAGACAAGGTGATGCTGGGAAGGCCCTTTGCTTGATCCTGGGCTCCTGAGGGGGCTTTGGCCTCGGGGAAGGCGCAGGGCGGCAGAAGCAATGCTGAGGACCCCAGGCTTGGCAGCCAGCC